TAGCTCCTGGTGCTGTATGATGATGTAGAGCTAAAAATAATAACAGGCAAATTCAGAAACTTGATATAGGTAGGGGTCATGTATTTGAAAGTTATCAGAATAGCAGAGAATGAAAGTACATTTGTAGTATTTGTTGCTTTTCCTGAAATTCATTTATACATGTATATATGGAAAGCTGCCCTGTATTCCATCTTTACGTAGTCAAGGTATTACAAACTACATCTAATACCTTGACTGCAATATCCACCTTTCTTGTATTATAGAATTTTGTAATTTGTTTTGATTGTATGCCAATAAGCCCTTGGTAGAATGACTGCAAACAAGTGATAAAAGAAAGGTGCAGTCAAGATATTGTACAAATTTTGAAATAGCTTGACTTCAATTACCCATTATATAATACATAATGCGCTTAAACAATCTCTTGGCTTATAGGCAGTTTTAATGAACTTCAATTCGTTTTGAATACAACAGCCAAACACGTCAAAATTTCAATAAACCATAAGTTTAATATCTCAACAAATCTTATATTTGGCTGATTTAGTTGTTATAAACAATATGAAGCTCATGAAATATGCCTGATGAAATATATGAAGATGTATTACTGATATTTTATTGTATCTGATGTGATAATAATAATAATAAGAATAGTAATAGTAATAGTAATAATGATTATAATACAAGAAATATCAATATACAATGTTAAACAATACCATATACACAAGTTTAAAGCCTTATTACTTTTAGATAGTTAAAACATAGTTATGGAACCTTTGAATTTAAAAGGCTGTCAGTACAGTTCTAAATAACATTTAAAATTTTTGTTGCCAACACTAATTAGACATCCTTCCAAGCTTCAACATATTTCAATAAATATTTTGTAAGTGTATGTCTCTACAAAGATAGCAGTCAAAATTCACAAGGATCATTTATACCAGCTGGTCTTTGGCCATATCTCTTGACATTAATATTTCCAGGATAATCCATACCCATTTACACTTAGATCGACTGGTATTTGGAAAGATGCCTTATTCAAGATTACAACCCACAACCACCATTTCCTCTATTTAACTAAGCAAATTATGTCAGTGAAGTCTAACTGACTGGGCTACCTACAACAAGTGACAGTTGACATCATGATCAAGAAATTGCAGTATCTGAAATGTGTTTAAGTACAGATTTGTTCTTGGTCTTCTTAGTCAATTTACCAACATGCATCACAGTCTAATTAAAATCAGACCCAACTTTCATTTCATTTTTTTTATTAGTTTTTAATTTTAGTTTAGCCACTTAACAGTAGGGTCTAATGACCAGACTCATGAACATTTGTCAAAATAACCTTTTGACCTAATCTGCTTTAACCAATCAAATTTATGTCATCTTCAGTGTTGGCATTTTGTGAGAGATTGAAGGAATTTGATTGCTTAAAGATGTGATTTTGATGAATGTTCTAGACTCTACTCTGAAGAGGCTATACTAAAAATAAAACACTAATAAAAAAAAACAAAAAAACGAAAGAATCAAATATGATAATCCAATGGAAAAAATGTTGCCCTAACAAATGTCACTAAAAATAAGGCTTTAAACTTATAAATGCATAAAAAGTAGAATTCATGCATAAAATATCAAATAAAAAGACAAATGCTAAAATTATCCCAGTTCTAAAAATCACATAGTTTGTACAATTTATACTACAGGCTCTTCTCCCTTTCTTTACACAATTTGAAAAAACTGTGGGAGAAACAACCTGTATGGACGGAAAATGAAATATGTACAAAATGACAATGAAGAAATATAATAAGCAATTTGAAACCACCTTCAAAATTCATCTTGTGTCTTTCAAAAATTTTAGACAATTTTATCCCAAATAACTTGTGATCTTTTTCAAAAGAAATTGACCTAAAAAATTGGTCCCTTATCTATAATGATATGTTGTGGGCACTATTGCAGCTATTCACAGCACCTTCAGAATGAAACTCTGATGCCTAGTTTGTCTGCAATTTAATAAAAAAATGCTAATAGAAAAAATGAAAATCACAAGTATTCCAATACAGATATTAATGAGAATATTAATTTCAGAAACATTAGATATCATTTCATTTAATTGCAGATGAACTTTATGTCACAATATCATTCTGAAAAGTGATCAGGTTGCTGAAATTGAGCTCTTTAAGATGAGAAAACATAATAAATATCAATTAAAAGCTTTGACTGCAAATTCAAATAGCTTTATGCATTTAAGAAAATGTCCAAAGGGCAGGTTTAAAATCCACTTCTAAAAGAGTATCCATGTTTCATCTTGTGACCTAAATAGCTATGAAATAAACATTAGAATTGAATAAATTGTTAACAATGTGCATCAGTTGTTTACCAATATAAACAATTAACTAACAAGTGATGTGATAAACCCATGGAATAAATAGTTGAATCAAACTGAATTTCTTTGATTCTACAAGAAAGGATTTTAACCACCACCATAATCTAGCTATAAGCTTATCTGATCTACTAAAGTAAATTTACTTTAAAATTGATACTGCCAGAACAAATTTCTGTTATAGGAATTTCTACTGAAGGTTCAGAAATCCTTATTTATATACCAGTATGCTAGGGCTGGGTGATATTGGTTCAAGTTGATATCATGATATTATTATCACAATATTTCTTAAGCATGGTTTTTGAAACAAAATGCTGTTATAAAAACTACCATATACCACGATGTGGAAATATTTTGGTATTTTTTAATCAGGCGATATAAATTCATATACTGGTATTTATCATGATAACGGTATATTGCCTAGCCATACAGTAGGCATTTTTTCCACTTTTCTAATTTGCAAAAAAGCTTTGTTTATTCAATGAGTTCTTTTGTTGGAACTCATAACATTCATGCTATCAAAACAAATTTTTTTTAATGTAGAATTTCAATAAAAATCTGATTTTTGTATTCTCTGGCAGCATATTGTTTTAATATCAAGCTTTAAAAATGGATTTTGAGATTCAAAATTTTGGTGCTTAACAAATTTTCTTTTCTTCAATATGTTTGCAATGAATTTTCAAAAAAATAGAAAATCAGTTTCAAGTAGGAAAAATAATAAAAATAACCCAAACCCAAATAATTAAAGCTGTATTGACAGTGGAATCAAGTTTGACAATCAACATATATTGAAATTATATTACAACCATTATAGATAATGCCTTTTTATCTAGAATTCTTTTGGTAATGATAACAAGTGCTCATATTGGAGCTATATACTCTATAAGCTTAAACTAGGGGGATCTTATATGTCTGATGAATCCATGACTGTAGCCACAGTATTGTAATTTTGGGCATTTTAGATTACTTTACCTACATGGTTCGACAAATTTTGAAAAAATATTTTTACACTTAATATTTCACAATTTTGGGAAATTTATTCCAATTTCGCTCACTTTCATTGAAGTTTTGGATTTAGAAATTTTCATTTATGGCTTCACAAGTGATTTTGCCTTGGATTAACTATTATTCATATGTAAAATTCACATACGTAAATTGAATTGTTGATTGTCATACTTGTATTAACTAGTGGTGATATTGTTAATCTATACCTGAGAATGTATTTATAATAAGTATATTATTCACTTCAAATAGTAAAAGATAAATAGAGAGAAAAACATATACCAAACACAGCTGTTTATTCTTTAGATAGATAGGTCCATGTTTTCAGTAAAAATCAACCAATCAAATGCTAATTATTTACTCAATGCATTATGATTTAATAAAATCCTTCAGACAGATAAGTTCATGTTTCCAGTAAAAATCAACCAATGAAATGCTTTATTTACTCACTGTTTCTGATCTAGTAAAATCATTTTAACAAGTAGGTTCATCTTTTCAGTGAAAACCAATCAATCAAATGTTGTAGTTACTCACTGCATTATGATCTAATAAAATCCGTCAGACAGATAAGTTCATGTTTTCAGTAAAAATCAACCAATCAAATGCATGATTTACTCACTGCATTATGATCTAATAAAATCCTTCAGACAGATAAGTTCATGTTTTCAGTACAATTCAACTAATCAAATGCTTAATTTACTCATTGCATTATGATCTGGTAAAATCATTTTGTGATCAAGACAAATAAATCTCAATCCAATATTAGAGATTCAGTTTAATTAACCCCTGTATATGGAGTCACATTAACCCTTTAGCATGTGCATAAAATGATTGCAGACAGACAGACAAAGGACATGGCAATATACATCTACAATTCCATATTGTCATATGAAAGAACCTAAAATTATGTTGGTATTTTATAAAATTCAACATGGTTTATATTATTTACAATTAGGTGCATGAAGTTATAAAACTGGATAAAAAAGACCACTGTCAATGGTTAGTAATGCTATAACACTATATAAAGGTTAGGTTATCCAGCCCCTTATGCCATAAAGCAGACTGAGGTTTCCTACCTCGACCTTGACGTAATGTTGCAGGGGAGGTAACTCCAGATATATCTGTCAGTATGGTATCTGAGATACTAGCACCACTACTACTCTCACTAGGTACCGTTGTATCTACGACTGCAAGTAAACAAACAAACATAGTATATTTTAGGGGTTGTAAAAAGTTTTCTAAATATTTTTTGTGTATCAGAGACAATGAAAGCATCAATTTGCACCATTCCAATTTTCAATCAGACGTCTGTGTTTGCTGCAATTCCACTAAAACTAAGTGTTTGATGATGTCACTAATCGTGAAGAGCCTTGATGCAAGCATATTTTGCTATTAGTGATGTCATCAAACACTTAGTTGAATTGTAGGAACCACAGACATCTGATTGAAAATTGGAATAGCATACATTGATGCTATCAGTGTCCCCTATATATATAAAAAATTTAGAAAATATCTTTACAATCTGCTTAAAGTTCATCATTCTCTCATTTGACAAATTAGGTAAGTTAGAAGCTAATTATAACATAATGACTAATGCTACATTTCATATCTCATTAACATTGATGGCTTAAAAATGAAGTGACTTACTCGTTGAATTGGTAGGTAAAACAGGAGCAAAGATATATGCAGCAAAATCTTCAAATGTTGTTGGTTCTGTATTCTGCTGTATGATTGTCTCTAGGCACTTAGCACGTTCCTCATAGCTACACACTGAGTTAGGGAAACTGAGTCTTGTGTTTAGACTTCAGAGATTATACACATGTGCATTACTGATCAGAACCATTACCCCTCAAACATGAAAGGGAATTTAGGTGGGAAAACTTAATGAATTCATGCTTAGCACTATTTCCATGTGAGTTTAATAACCTTTAGAGAACTATAAACTGTTACTTTTATGATAGGCAGTGAACTAAAAGTTGTCAATTCAAATGTACTTGCCAGGCATGTCTGACACACATCACAAATACATATATCTATGACATATTTTTTTCCTCATCTTTTTTGTGCATCTTCTAGAAATCTTAAAGAGAAAGGTGTGCCATTATAGTAGGTTGATTTTAGTCTTGAATATATGAAAATAGTCTTAATAAGTACTAGAAATCGCATAATTCCTTTAAAAATGACCTCAATCAACGAATTTCTTTGTCTTTTCTGTTTATGGCAGTGTCTCTAAACAGATGACTTATCTTTTTAACTTTCAAACGCAGTTTATTCTGGACACACATGGATTTGAAGGCTCAAATTTCGACAGTGAGCTGTGAACATTGTTATTGATTGGTCTAGTTAAAAAATTCCTGTTTCTGAGACTGCAGTATGATTGGTAAAATAAATGGCGCACCTATCACTTTAATATTTTTTTTCAGAAGTAAAGTACATAAGAAAGGATACAATGAATGAAAGAAAGGCATTAAAGAACGTTTTATACGACTAGCATTGACTGCTGTAGCTCGAACTAGTCCAGGTAATACTTTACTATCTACTATTGAACCATCAAACAGAGGTCCAAAATACGGTACCTAGAACAAACAAGAAGTATGCTTCATTAGTTAAAATTCATCATCATTAAAGGGAAATTCTGCTCTTTTTGTAGGTCGAAATTTTTTTTTCGTTCAAATTTGTGAAAACTATACACCAAAATCCAGAGAAATGCATTTGAAAGTTTTAACTCAAAAATTGAGCCATTGATTTTAAAATGCCAAAACTATTCTAAAAGTTTACATAAGATTACGTAAACTGTTAAACGTTGTTAGTTTTTTGGAAGCCGTTAGAAAACTACCGTATGGATGGAAATAAACGCCTAATTGGAGAAAAATATGTCTCCTACGTTTTCTAAAGATTTCAACTAAATATAACAAGCCATCATAAAGCCAATCACCGAAACTAGGTCAAACTGCTTAACTAACAATTAGTACTCTCTGTTTTTAATTAACCCTTTTTAAAAAAAATTCAGTTTGATCAAGAGGTTACATAGATATAAATAACATATTTTAGAAATATTTTCAGGTATAATTTACAACATTTTTGATAATGAAAATGTTTTACAAGAAAAGTGGAATGCCCCTTTAATACAACACTCTCATCAATAAATAGATAGGATCATCTCATCCAATCATTCAATTCTTCATAGAAGAAGCTTTTTCTGAACTCATGTATCATTCATGAATGTTGAGTTATACCAATAACCAAAACGTAAAAATTTTGGAAGTGTGTGGATGGCTGGTTTGAAAATGACAAGATATTTTGAATATTTTTATAATCTAGTCAACTTGGTCTCAGGAGTATATTTAAGAATGGAAAGGACACCTACCTCATGTTTTCTATTAATTTGTATTCTATATAAACCACATGGTAGTGGATAAATAATGATAATAATATCACCAAACTCTGTTGGTATTATACCCCGCCGGTAATCTCGCGAATGTTCTGACCAGACTATGTGAACTTCATCATTACCCAGATGACGCATCTTTAATAAATAAAATATTGTACAAGTGAGTATTATTTATAATTTAGAGGCCATGGTTCGCCATTTTCTTTTCTATGTCTTTTCTTTATATGGCAGAGTCTTAAGAAAAGACAAGTAGTCATTTTATCACAGATAATTCTGGATACACATGGATTTGAAGGCTTAAATTTAGTCAGTAAGTTGTGAAAACTATTACTAATTAGCTTAGCTAGAAACTTACTGTTTGGTATTTGGTATTTCCAAAACAGGTCAGTTGTCAAATCTTTCTACTGTTTGATTACAATATAAACATTTCCAAATATGCAATGAAAATTGGTGCACAAGGTAATTGAGAAGTGGTTCTCCTGGCTCACCTTAATATGCTTAGATTCATCAGTACCAACAGGCATTCTGGTAGAAACATGAAATATGACTTCACAGCTAGAATTAGCATAATACGGTGCTGTATCACCAGTTGTTTTATTTTTCTGTAAACCACCTAGAAATCCTTGATGATTCTCTAAATCCACCTATAATATAAAATATCATTGAAACTTATGTTCTCTTATTTATATTACAAGTCATGGACTGGCCCCCGTTTCACTAAAGTGCGTAAGTTTACAACAAAATATGAGACTTATGCAAATTCTTATGTGTGTTTCACAAACAAACTCACAAAGATCTTCGCTGCAAAGGATTTACAATTGTCGTCTACAGCATTGTTTTGTTGAATTTACATCTTTATTTCAACAATTAACAGAAAAAAAAAATATTTCATAAGACTCTATAACTCTCCTTAATAGTTTAAAAAGGTTTATTTATGTTGGTGAAAATTTGCAAATTTTTCCAGAATTTGAAGCGTGAAATGACGTCACCTTGACAATTACGACAACATCTTAACTAACAATTGACATTTGAAAAATTGAAAGGTCATAATAGCAAAAATAAAGGCAAATTTGGAAGGGAAATTCTGAAAAACATCAATTGCTTTGATATTAATAAGTTCTCAAAACAGAAATTGACTAGTTTCATCTATTCTAAAGGATTTCATGTATTAAAAAAAGGTTACGATAGGGTACATCTGTCGTAAGTTACACGAAATTTTAAAAATTTTAGACTAATGGAGTTTAGTGAAACAAAGGCCTGGTCACTGGAGATGAGAAATTCTTTTACTTTTTTTTCACGATTATACCATACCATACCACTAGGCAAAGCATAACAACATTGTATAGTGAATTAGATGTACAATTGCCTACTAGAGGCAAATACAACAATGTAAATGGGCTAAAATAAGTATAATATTGATAAATGGAAACAAGTTTTTCTAAATATTTATCATAGTTTTTCGATAAATGGAAACAAGTTTGTCTAAATATTTATCATAGTTTTCGATAAATGGAAACAAGTTTTTCTAAATATTTATCATAGTTTTTCGATAAATGGAGACAAGTTTTTCTAAATATTTATCATAGATTTTCGATAAATGGAAACAAGTTTTTCTAAATATTTATCATAGTTTTCGATAAATGGAAACAAGTTTTTCTGCAGAAACATTTCGGAATTTGGTTTGCCATCAGTTTTTTGAGTTAAATAAAATATATAAAACTTCCAGTACCTCCCAGCCTAATCCTGCTACAAATGTTTCATAATCTCTACTACCAGCTGTATTAGATAATATAGAATTCTTATCTTCTTGTCCTGTAGCCACATAGATTACTGCTATTTTATGAGTTTCACGGCTGAAATCAAGGTATATATGTATGTGAAGAACAATGAAAGATGTCAAAATATCTCTCAGAGGCTGGAATAGAGGCAGATGTTTCGGTCTGATCTGATAGAATCAAATTTGTAATGATGGGCAAATGAAATGAACGAAGTTTTACATCCTACTTTTCTGTAATGACAGGCAATCTAGCAGTTCAAACAAGTCTGTAAAATGTATGAAAAGAATAGAAAAGCATTCCTTACCATTTTTGATTGTCCAAATTTTTCAGTTCCCGTAACAATTTATCAGTTTTCTTCAAGAGATCAAATTGACAACGTTTGTCCCAGGACATCAAACCCATCTGGTCTAATAACATACGACACATTTGAAATGGTGAAATAGGATCTTCTATTTCATCAGGTAACTCTGGTTTAGCCAGCATACTGAAATATATTTACATTCTTATGATTCTCTGACCAAACTATATAATACATGATAATCATCTCATTATTTCACAGCCAGCTCATAATAATGTCCTTATGACAGTTGTTGAGAAAATCTTATTTGATTAGATCATGAGGTTATTTTGACCAATGAAAAGTATTGTTTCAAAAGCAGCGATATTTATCATTTAAAATGTATATGTTATAGTAAATGGGTGAAATAAGTAATTACACGTAATAAATTACTTGTATTTACTAGTCACTGAGGTAATTACATGTATTCACTAGTCAGTTTAGTTATAACATGTATTTACTAGTCACTAAAGTAATTACATGTATTCACTAGTCAGTTTAGTTATAACATGTATTTACTAGTCAGTTTAGTTATTACATGTATTTACTAGTCAGTTTAGTTATTACATGTATTTACTATTAAAAGTATTGTTTCAAAAGCAGCGATATTTATCATTTGATAAACTATGTTAACTAAATATCTTCACAATCTTGTAAAAAAAATCCGATCAAATTTGACTTCATTCATACCAACAATAACATATCAAGCCCTGAGATTTTGATCATGTAATAAACTTTATACTTCTGGACAAAAATTAACCATGGATAATGATGAATGTACAGAAACTTGATGCTAATATTCATCCTCATTATATCTTGTGATATGGCGTTTAACTTATTGTGAAGGGAAAATCTAGACCAAAAATATACATTATCTATCAAAAAAATCCTGATATCGATTTCATACCAAAATCTGGCAGTAAAGGTCCTAGAGTAGCTTCTTATTAGTTTATTTTAAAGGGATTTCTAAACTTTGTATGTGTATTGGCAACACAGATAAATTCGATTTGAACCATTGTGCTTCTTCCAATTCCACAAAAACAAGCATTTTATGACATCACTTTTTCAAAGGCCTGTAGATATTATTACAAGCTTTTGCAATAGTACACAAATTCAGTTTCTGTGAAACTGCAAGAACCACAGACAGCTGACTGACTAAATAATACTACCAGTGTCCCCGATACACATAAAACATTTAAAAACCTTTATACCATCCCTTAAAAGAACTATATTAGCTTAAAATGTATATGTTATAGTAAATAAGTGAAATAAGTAATTACATGTAATAAATTACTTTAGTTTATTTATAAACATGTATTCACTAGTCAGTTTAGTTATAGCATGTATTTACTAATCAGTTTAGTTATTACATGTATTTACTAGTCAGTTTAGTAATAACATGTGATTACTAGTCAGCTTAGTAATTACATGTAATTACTGAATTTCCAGTTATTACTGGTAATGATTTTTTTTGTCATTTTTACACCATATTCAAATCACCATAGAGAACAAATATATAAAAGTACATTGACATAAAAGATAATTTAGTGACAACAATAATTACAAAATAAAGTCTTTGTTTTTGAGAAAAAAATGAAGTGCACATGAAATTTATGATAAAAACAGTGATTTTTTATGTGTATCGAGGACACTGATAGCATCAATTTGCACCATTCCAATTTTCAATCAGACGTCTGTGGTTCCTGCAATTCCACTAAAACTAAGACTTTTATAACGTCATCTCCGCCAAATTTGCTTGTATCACATAAAACCTTTGCGGGGGTGACATCATAAAACACTTAGTTTTAGTAGAATGGCTAGAACCACAGATGTCTAATTGAAAATCGGTATGGTTCAAATTAATACTATCATTGTCCTCGATACACAAAAAAAATTTAGAAAACTTCTTTACAATCCCTTTAAGAATAGAGAACACAATATGAACCATTTAGTTCTTCTGCATGAAAATATTCACTGAAATTTGTTAAGGATTGTGCATGGTTTTCCAAAGAATCTTATGCAAATGATGGAAATTTTACAGCTTTTCAAAAATAATGTTGATAAGTTAACTGATTTTTTTGAAAATTTGATTGAATTCGCCAACAGGCCAAAATGTGAATTTTTATCAAAGATTGAAATTATTGCAGATTTTTAATTGTCCATTTTTTTGCAATTTTTCTATATAAGTGAAGAGGTGGACATAATAGATTCTCCACATATCATATAGAAATAAAAATCAATTTAAAAAAAAAGACATAGAAAATACCAGTACACTAATATATTTTAAAATGGTGGTGTAAAACAAAAAATATGATTGACTAAAAATGGATTGACTACATTAGTACAATATGACACTGGACACCGTATTGATACACTTACAGCTCTATCTCCCTTTGTCTTAGCATTAATAAATAAATATAAATCATATATCAAGCATGCAGTTATATAGTTCTACAAAGATGTTTGTTAAGTCCAGCAAAGATATCTAAATAGCCCAGCAAAGATATCTGTATAGTCAAGATATCTGTATATTCAAGCAAAGATATCTGAATAGTCCAGCAAAGATATCTGTATAGGAAAGAAATCTGTAAATTCAAGCAAAGATATCTAAGTAGTTCAGCAAAGATATCTATATATAGTCTAATAAAGATATCTGTATAGTCCAGCAAAGATATCTATATAGTCAAGCAAAGATATCTGTATAGTCCAGCAAAGATATCTATATATAGTCTAAAAAAGATATCTTTATAGTCAAGCACAGATATCTATTATATATAGTAAAGATATCTGTATATTCAAGCAAAGATATCTGTATAGTCCAGCAAAGATATCTGTATAGGAAAGAAACCTGTAAATTCAAGCAAAGATATCTAGGTAGTTCAGCAAAGATATCTATATATAGTCTAATAAAGATATCTGTATAGTCCAGCAAAGATATCTGTATAGTGCAGAAAAGATACTTATATATAGTCTAACAAAGATATCTTTATATAGCACAGATATATTTATACAGTAAAGATATCTTTATATTCAAGCAAAGATATCTGTATAGTTCAACAAAAATGACTATATAGTCCAGCAAAGATACTTGTATAGTCAAGCAAAGATATCTGTATAGTTCAGCAAAGATATCTATATATAGTAAAGCAAAGTTTAACAAAGATATCTTTATAGTCCAGCAAAGATACTTGTATGGTCAAGCAAAGATCTGTTCACAAAACTAATCATTATTTAGAGGATATCTAAATTTCTCCTACCTGACGTCAGCTTTGTGTTGTTTGTAATATTCTAACTCAGCTTGACGTTGATCTAGTACCATAGTGGTCATCATACCTTCAGCCTGATCACACAAATCTTCTGGTATAGGAGGATTAATATTTAATGGTTTACCAAGACGTAGTAAACACTCAGGACTAGTATTACCAATAAAACTTAGTAACTAAAAGGAAAAAAATTAAATATTTATCAGGGCAACTAGTTAAAAAGAGGTGCTTAAATGCCATCATTAGGGCATTTCGATTCCAAAAGTCTTTGGTTCTTACGATTCCACTAAAACTATACAAAGACATATCTATGAAAAAACCTTAGATGTCATTAGCAGCTTTCATGGAAGTGGCGTCATAAATTCTATAATTACAGGAACAACAGACATCTGCAGAAAATTGGAATAATGCAAATAGAAGCCAATGATAGCATCACAGAAAACCTCTTAACAACGCCTTCAACAGTTAGAAATTCACTCATCAAATAATTGGCATTCTATCTGAAACCATCAATTCGAAGTCAAGAGAAAACTCACATCATCAAGATTATCGTCACCATTTTGTATACCAGTGGTACTATATGATGGTAGTGTATTTATAGTACGTGATGATGCTGGTACTGGTGCCAGCTGCCGAGTTGAAGGACTAGATTCTATATTAATATCACTATCTTCTTGTATAATCAATGGTTCTAACTCCATATCTGTCACCTGACCTAATAATACTTGAGCATCTGAAAAGAAGAGTTTGTAGGGCTGATAAATAATCGATTATTGTCGCTAGGAATTTATAATTTCAATTATCGATCATCGAAATATATTATCGATTAAATGTAAATCTGCTATTTTCTCCTGTGCAACCTTTAAGAAGTCAAAATTTTTTCGCACATTGTTTCCCTTCAGAAATAATATACCCACAATAACCTATAATAACTGATCAAAGCAATAATATACTTCTATGACACAAATATAACCCATGGAAATAAAAACATGATTTTTATTTAATATTTAAGATTAAGATTTCTCACATACAATAATTTGATTATTAATCGATTATTGATCAGTATTATGCAATTTGGTAATCGATACCCGGCCCATTACTGAGTTCTACTATCTGGATATTTGAGGAATGAATGTTGATCTTGTTATCGTTATGGGGAAATAAACGCTGGTTTAACATGTGACAAAACAAATGACCCGGCGAAGCG